GACACTCATCTTGACTACTTTCCGGAGAACTTCGAAGACTACAGTGAAGAAAAGGTGAATGGTTTCACCATGATATCAAGGAAATTGAGCGTCTGTACGAAAGAAACTGTTGGATGCCGAAAAGGTAAAAAGAGCCAAGAAACACAGAAAAGAAAAATAAATCAGTTGCATAAATCGTTTGAAGGTAAAAGAGTTCGTTACAAAAGGAAAATGAAGGAAAGAAACATAATTTCTTATCTGGAAACGATATTTACATCTTCCAACATCCTCATCTCTCTGCGGTCATCAAATGACTGAAGAAATTTCCCAGATTTTAGAGTTATTTTGCATTAATAAAAATACTGAAGAATGATAGAATGATTTCTTGGCTGTTACAAATTCACTTCTCACTACAAGGATCTCGGAAACTGTAAGAGATATGAAGTAGCTTAAATGGGGGCAAAGTTGCGTAATCAGAGGACCAACATTATGCCTCTAAAAAATCAATGCTATTATCGAACACTGTAAGTGTCGTTAGACCCTGTGAAATCGATCTGGTCATTTAAACTATTGCCACCACTTTTCTAAATAAAAAGCGGTAAAAATTACTAATTCAATTTTAGGTTGTCAGTATCTATGTGCAGTGATTTGTGCACACACTTGTAAACAGAACCCGCCGAGCTATCAATGGCGTCAGCGGTTCCAAAAATGTTTCTGCGTATTATTGCGGTAAGTCAGTAAGTATTAAAAAGTATTTATTCGATCGATTTATTTACTCTTCAAATATTCTGTCCAAGTTTGCAAACACCCTATATTATACTTGAGCAGGTTGTTGGTTAGCTAACAAAATAGACAGAGAATGAAACGCCTCTCAAAATTAAAGGAAATTAAATATCCTATCCAGTCATATTTCTCGAATGCGGAAATATAATCCTTAAGCCTAACATTTTTTCAACACAACCAGATATGTTTTATCTTAAAATTGCTCAAGAAATAATTTTCCCTCTTAGACGAATTCCCTGTGTTATTTTGCTGTCCTCTAAAAACACCAGGAGCTTTGTATCGGTATAGCGGAGGATTTCCACCTCGCTGGACGTATAAAGGGGTTTATTTGAAAATCTGTACCTACACGATGTCCATAAAGTCAGATGAAACAACAAAACTCATGGCTCGTTTCCCTTGCGGCTTTATCTGAGCTTTTCCAATAAGTACCTGACTTCTATCAGTGCGTTATACAAATAAAGGGTGTCCCAATATTTACGCAAGAAGTAGTTTTGATAGAAAACACAGGTTTTTAATTAAAAACTAAATTTTTTTATCCACTTGTTCCATAATCCACGAACTTTCTTTGCTCTGCGTGGTCAGTAGGCTTTAGTTATTGAGTGAATTGAACTTTGCAAGCATGAAAACGCACACAGACGCTGTAGGAGCTTCTCTTCTTTCGTGTAGCGTGTTAATAACCCTGAACTGTGCGCTGTCTTTTTTTTCGTTGCGTGAATTTTGGGACACTCGATATAAACTACAAATTATAAAATTGAAAATCGTGAAAGCAAAATACACCCCAAAATTTAAAATCCCGGAATTACGCAGATTATATTTTGTTACATAGAATTATACAGGGTGTGGCGTCTGTAATGCAGAAAATTAAAAACCTAGACTCTTGATAATAAATGAAGTAAAATAATATATGCTACCATAAGGCGATTATGAGATTTGAGTATCAAAAATATTTTCCAAAAAATTACAAGAAGTGACAAAATGGTAATGCCGGTCCTGTTTAACATAGCTCAATAAACATTGACCGCACTCCACACGGCACCTGTGGAGTGTCAGTCTGTGTCAATGTCAGTACGCTTTTGACTTGCGGGTGAATTGCTGCTAAGTTGTGTCAAAAAGATCGCGCTTCTACTGTTTAGACGTTAATTGTTTATTAAAGACGTTTCTTATTTTTTATTTTTTAAGTTATTGTTTTAACTAAATCGGCAATGGATAACGAGGACAACAATAAAACGTTTACTACTATCATCTTTTTTGTTTGTCGTGATCCAACCTATCACTTGCTAAAATAATAGTAGTCTTTTCTGTAACACCATGTACTTTGTTTCTACAAACCTCTTGTCTGGGATTGCACATTATCATTTACAGTGAAATAACTGATTGAATTTTATGTTTATTTTTCCTTTTAATTAAAACGAGAGGATTGTATTAAACTGGCCAAAATTATTTATTATTGCATTAAAACATTTTATCTCTTTTATGTGTATTTCATACATTTTAATTTGGCAACACTAATTTGCGCAAAGGCAAATCTCTGTTCAGTTCGGTTCGGCAAGCGTGCGCTGATGTTAATCGAATGGCATGACATTTTTTGACCAGGACCGTACTATGATTTATTTCTTCGCCACAAAATTGAAGTTCAATTTTCTTGACAAAACGTGGATATATGAATTTCTTATATAAGGCTTTTTTATTGCATATATTCCTAGGAATCTGCATTTTATTTTTTCTGCACTAAAGACGCCACACTCTGTATGCCTAATAATAATACTATTCAACGTTTGTTAATATATAAATGGAAACTCCAATCAATGCTGAATTATTGAATGATTCAAATAATATTCAATGATGTTATTACAAATTTACATAACATGTATAAATGTATATGCATAATATAATCGAACTCCCTTCAAATATAATAACTATAACAAATTGTGTCGTATTTTTAATCCAACTATGCCCTGAAATCCCTTCAATTAAGCCACGCCAACACGAATTATAAATTAATATTGAAATGTGTGTTTATATCACACATGCATTCAGGGTACTATTATTTTATTATAATTTCGTTTCATATATCTGACAGTAGTTGTAAAAGGTAATAAAGCTTTATTTTACCAGATATATTTGGATATGTATTATTTAAAGTGGGATGTAATTATAATAATGACCAAGATTAAACACTGATATAACAATTGTATGAGTATATAAAATATTACATAAAGCTTAAGGATATACCGGTCTGGACATATTTTTATTTCCGATACAAAGTTAGTAAATTATATAAATATTTCACCAGTTTCCCCTAATAATTCTGACTTCGCCCCAATATTATTTGTATAACTTTATGCCATCGATATAAGGGAATAAAAAAACGCCATAAGAAGTGCGCAAAGCCTGAGGTTCTAAGCTCTCCTTGATTGATTATTGGTTTATTGTATCTGTCTTGCATTAGGAATTTGGGAACAACGTACGTCTAAGATACGTACATACGGAAGACAGAGTACTGGACAATAATTACGTTTTTGATTTATTGCGATGGCATAAAGAGTATAAGCCACGGCCTGGAATTGACAGCAGTGTTGCCATACGTACAGTAATTACCCTATTTGTACGATACTTTTTTACAAGAATGATAAGAGGTTTTGAGACAATACTAACTCCAACTTTATTACAAATTATTTATAACATTTAGTATAAAACGGTATTCTAAAATAAAATGACTGGTAATTCTTAAGCAAAATAATGAATTATGTTCAAATGCTTATTAAATAAAAGCTTATTATTAACTAATAAGGTGTTCAAACGAACCACCTGCTTGAGCTTCACAATACCCTAATCTGTCGTAAAATTCTTGACGAACATTTGCCTAAAGTTCAGGAGTAACTGATCCTAAAATATTTCTAATTTTAAGCCGTAATTCGTCCAAATTTGCGGTTCTTTCGTATCGATGTTTGTAGAGAAGTTGCGTTAAATGACCCCATAAAAAGAAGTCGCAGGGTGTCAGATCTAGAGATCGAGGAGGCCAAGGTATGATACCTCTTGTGGAAATAAGCCTTTCAGGAAAAGTTTGTTCCAAATAATCTTGAACTGACCTTGCGTTGTGTGCAGGATATCCGTTCCTGATTGCTACATTTCGTACACCGATTAGTTAATCGGATGGGTTCATCCACACCCCTCAAATTTATGAAAAATATTCAAAACAGTTCTAGCAGTGGGAACTGATTCGTCGGGGTATGAAAATATAAATCAGCCAACGACTTCCTCTGCACTTTCTTCACGACAATACCATTTAATAACTTAATTTTTTGTTTGACACTGTCCACCATTTTTACTTTGTAATATTCCGTCTACCTCTTATCAAAGGTTTGAGTGGAATAATAACAAAAATATTACTAAACAAACAGCAAAGCGCTTTAGGTATTCGGTCGGTTCACAAAAAAACGGGGTACGTGCGCTCCCACAGCCAACCAATTACGAGAGTCCGAGTCGGAGCCTCGATGATATGTCATGTCCGACTCCTTCCACCCGAAGTTGATAGGGGAGATGCGTGTAATTTATTTAGTCTATGCGAAAGAATTACCTGGCCAGACCTGTATAAGAATTCAAAAAGCTTGTCTAATCTGAAAGTGTTGCGATCGACATCATTATCCTAAACCGTAAAATAAAAGCAACCGATGTCCTGTTCTGAGCCGTTTCGTTGACCAATAGTTTCGTAGCAACATGCTTGGTCACCGTCTACACAGGAAAGCTAAATGATTTTACACCTGAGCTATGTGATATGATAGCAGAATTATTTTTATTTATTACTGTTTGAATTTTTCGGTTAGATAACTTGTTACTGTCTTATAGTTTACTTTACTTAAAGGAATTAATTTTTTCTTTGTAAGATGAGAGATCTGCTCTTAAAATTTCCTATCTTTCTCTTAAATTATGAGAATTGACAGCAATGCATGCCGTAGCTTTCATGTGTATATGCACTTACGACTAATCTGCGTAGTTCTTTCAGGTCATAGTAACCTGTTCAGTGGTGCAGTATAATAACTATTAAGAAAAAAGTGTTAAAAAAATTTAGGGAATTTCGGAGAACACACGATGTGTGTTTCTAGAAGTATAATAATATTCCAATGTTGCAATCCCTAAAATCTACCTCATTTAGGAAAAAATTAGACAGTACCTTTATTTTTCTCGATGATATAAACTTTAGACATTTTTATGCAGTCGGAACTGAATGAAATTCGTACCTGATATTCATAAGACGGCTTCAGGTAGTACAGCGCCATCTCCTGGTGGAACACCGGTGTAGCTGAACCGGACAAGGGAGGCACGATCCACACCCAATCAGCTGGACAACCATTTCTAAGCTTGACTTCGTTCTCCAAGTGCTTCATGAAGGACTCAGAAGCCGTGTGGTGGTCGACGATGGTGACGCATTTCTGTTGGAAGCTATGGAGGACGGCCAGATTAGCTTCCACCATAGCTTTGTCCTTCCAGAGGGTCACTGGGGTCCTGGTGTCCAGGCCCATGTTCAAGGCGATGGTCTGTAAGCAAAGTGGCAGTATGTAAAAGATGAAGGATCATATTTGGGGCTGCTTGCCACGTCAATGGTTTAAACTAGAACCATTGATAACTGATTTGCTTCAAATATACATTGCACCACACGTACCTCCATCATATTAAGTCTTTGCGGGTCACAAAGATCTCGACAACCGATTTCAGTGCTCATGTACCACCCATTGAAGGGTGCTGCGGTAAATTGGATACCTCCACAGTCAAACATCATGTTGGATACTGCTGGCAGTACGTACCACCTTAAACCAAGATCTTCAAACCACTCCAAGCTGTAATGAAAGAGAAGTGATAATATAGCATAGTAAATAATGGAAATCAATACAATTGAGTAAGTTTAAAAATTCGGGACTATAGAAGCCTTGTAGATGTATTACATTTATTTATCTTGAAAAATAGAGCAGTTCTAAACAGAAACAAGATCAGTATCAAAACTCCGGCTTCCACAGTACTTATATCTATTATTTATTTATTTCCAAGAACAAAAAGTCCTATAAGAAATATAAGAAGAAGAAGTAACACTAGTTTAATAATATTACATATTAGAAAAGTGTTTACTGATTTTATTGTGCCTTATTTTTTTAACCATTTGCTAGAGGTAGATAGCTAGAGATAGACTTTTGCCAGTGAGATTTTATGACGTAACTTTGTTGATCTTAGGCCTTTTACAAGGAGTCACTACATTTTAAAATTTATTTTTAAATAAAAATGTATTTTTGTTAATATCGCCAAATAAGTTTCAAATGTTTTTCTATGAAAAAAAAACGCGATAGGCTGGAACAAAGTCAACCAGTTCTTTTCCTTAACATACAAACCAACTGAGATTAAATTACCTTATTTTTCCTCCTTAAAGAATCAGTTAAATGAAAACGAAATTATATTTTCATCTAAGGAAGCTAACAAAGCAGGAGGTTGTATTGACTACAATCATTTATTTGCGGCAAGTCACAAAAATTAAATTAAAAAGTTCTAAATTTTCAGGTAATTTTTTCAAAAGGCTGTAATTTGGTGAAAAATGGTCGTAGAGCAACCAAAAAAATCTTTTTAATTTTTAACATTTTTTAAAATTTTTGTTCCAAAAAAAATTGCATCTTCATTTTTTCTTTTTTTTATATTTAACATTTTTTATGAACAAAATATGGATTTTTGCAAAGATAAACATTTTCAACTTTAAAAATGAATAAAAGATTCAAAACTTATCCTTTAATTGTTTTTTTAACAAAACTGATCATTTGGATCACAATGAATGAAAAATTGCAACGGTTTGAACTGTTGAGGGTTTCTTTGGGATACTTTGAGGTTAAAAAACGGAAAATATCCTTAGTGTATTAATTATTTGTAAAGTTGTCTCAAGCTTAAATACACAATTTTTACCATTTTTTGAATCAAGTCTATTGCATCGTAATTTTTTTTCAAAAACCGATAAGAACATTTTATAAAGGATACTTTGAAGTTTTCAAAACCTTGCTTATATTTTTTGTACGATCATTAGTTCCCGGGTAATTAATTATATTATCAAAGCCAAAAACGTAATTTTTGCTTTGCAAGTCAGGACAAATCATCCTGCAAAGTTCTTGTACAACTCAAATTAAAGGAGGATGAATCAAACTAAAACAGTTGTCAGGTGGGATTGCCAATAAAAAATTACTGAAGCCAGTAGACTTTTTGAAAGGGGAACAAACATTTTGAAACGTTTTTTCCGCTTGCTTTCTTCAACTGCAAACTTCAAGTTGCCTTTTGTTGCTCTACGACTATTTTTAGCCAAGATACAGCATTTTGAAAATCACCTAAATATTTAGGATTTTTTAAAATCCTTTAATTTTTGTGCTAGTGTATTTGATTAGGTGTTTCTCTACTGTTCTACTACTGGAAGCTAGTTAAACAAAAAACATTTAACTTTTAAGTCAATTCGATAATTGTGAATTGAAAGTCTTTCTTGTAAGATATTTCCGGTTAGGCAAAACTATAAGTATTTATAAAATCAACCCCCTGATTGAGTTTTTTGGAGTAAGGGACAGTTTATTTTTTTCTGGCAGAATGTAGCAGGAACATCAGGTAAAAAGAGCGGGAGGTTACATCGAAAAATAGGGCACAAACAATTTCTGTAAGAGCTCTTATAATAAAATTATTACACAGTGTCTAAAAATTAATTGAATGGTAGTTATCAAAATGTAAGGCTTATTTTCACCTATGTATATCCCGCAGGTAACTTTTATTTACGTTTTTAATACATCAGTTCCGGAGTTCTGTTATCAAGTTTTATTGTGACAACGCAGGGATCGGAATCATAAGTCCCTAGGGGGATATACGCATGTTTCCAATTGTTTGTTCAATTACGAAATTAAACTCCAGAATAAATGAAAATTTATTTCAATATTTAAATTTCACATTAGATATGAAAATGTGTGCGATTTTATGAGTGTTTTGTACATATTTATCTTTTTGGTTCAGTATCATTTAAAAAGTCGTGTGTCAGCATAGGAAAAATCAACAATTAATGTTGCAGTTTTTTAAACATATTAACAAAAGGTTGATGAACAATTTATATACAAAAAAACTTCAAAGATAAGATACTAAAAAGAACAAAACAATAATTTGGTTTAAAACGGTAGAGTCCTACGTTTCAAATCAACAAAAGTTTCTATAAATATGTGTCCAGAAACACTTCGGTTGCGAAATACAGGGTGTTCAAAATTAACGAAAACACGTGGCTTATTTTAAATCGCAAAAATCATGTAAATATTATTAAATTTCGCCGATAGATAAAGTAATTATAATTATTTCGAAAATAGATTGATATTTCGGTGCCTTTAGTAATAATTATCTATAGATAATCTAATATTTTATCTCGTAAACGGTGCATTCTAGTTACATGTAGCAAGAAAAATTTTTCGAAATTTCTGTGATAACGTTGAGTCAAATTTAAGCTAGTTTGGAAAAGAGTTTCAAATTAAAGTTATTTCGTACAATATTAAAAACTCTCCAAATTGCTTCAGCTGTTTTTTGTAACTTAAAAATATAATTTTCTTTCTTAAACTTTAACATCTTAAATTTCGAAAATATGTTTCTGCACATGTTTATGGAAACTCTTTTTGTTGAATTGTGACGTAGAATGGTGAATGGTTTGGCTAAACAATTTGGTTACACCCTGTACACAAAAATAATTTGATTTTGCCTTGAAGGTCCACGAGAGCAACAATTTACTTTTATTACGTTCGTCTTAAATCACCGCTTCATAAAAAGACTACATTTATGTGTCAATCACACACTTGACAACAAAAGCTTATTGTTACAGTAAGATTAATGATAAAATGTACTTAAAAAAAGTCTCAGGCTGCTTGATTTTAGTGAAAATAAAAATAATGTCAAGTCAATGTATTTGATTTGTGAAATCCTTTGACCTATTGGGGTATCTTGCAATATCTAAAAGGTTTCAAAGTAATTTGGCCCACCCTCAAGAGTAAATTTACTGACCATTTTACTGAATATAATTTTCTATTCATACTACTTACAAATCTACAGTGTCTTATCTGGTTATAGTCTTTCCGAGGTCAGTTGATCATGTAAAAAAACGCCTGGCAATAAAATTTAATGACTTTCATAGGCGTCTCTAAAAAGTTTTCTGCTAAATGTAAAAAATTATAATAATTTGTATATATTGTGTAGAAAATTTATATATATTATACGTTCATTTGGACAACAACATATTTTAATTATTTATGTCCTCAAACAATTTTATTATATTGATGGTGAATTTCGTTCTGTTCCGTTTCAAAAGGCCTCCAAAATGCCATGTTGTAATAATATTATTTCTCCCTTTCGCAATTGTAATATCAATGATTAATAGAAAGTGCCTATAATAAATTAAAATTATCTGAATCATACCAACTTCCGCATTGCTGCACTGCACTGCTGGGCAATTTGTCAACCACTTGTCAACAGCTGAGGTTTATTACCCAGTGGCCCAGTGCGGCTGTGTTTGTGCGCCGTTTGCCCGCGCCCGCTTTCTTCAACTGGGCGTATACATTTCTACCACCCCCACGTTTAGTTCAACCAGACCTATATATGAGTATGGCTAAATAAATATGGGAACAAGTTTTTCAAATATTTCAATGCCGAGTTGCTGCGTCAGCGACCGAATCTGGTACATACTGTCAAGCTCTGGGTTCTTCAATTGACACCGGAAAGACTATACACAGAGTGTTTCTGTTTCAGTAATAATTTGATACAACTTAATGTAAAGATTTGGGTGCTTCATCAGTGAAGTGCAATTAGCGCCATCTACCGATGGGTACAAATAAAAAAGTACTTTTCTTTTTCAGAAGTTGCCTCCACAAACATATGGATCTTCCCTCCCCGCCCGCTCCCCAACGTCTAGAGACACAGTTTTATAGAGATAAAACGCGTAACGCAATTTCCGCTTTAAGCTAATTCGCCTTTTATCACCGCCTTTTAACTTATTTTTTTTAGTCACGGAAAGCGTGACGCCGGGGCTCGTAAAAATGCGCAATCCTTAAAGGCCGTCCAAGATCAAGGGATCTGCGACAGCGGCTAATGAAGTGATATGTCTGACGCGCCGCCTATTTTACAAACACTCCGAGCTGTTAGGGCAGCCGGTGAAAAGACGCAGAGGCGTCGAAAGTTGTAATCAGCGCCGGTAGGTTTTTAATTTTCTGTCCTAGATTAAACTCTCACTTTCTCGCATTCACAGGGCACTAGCGTTAATAAAGATCTCACTGTAGATTCTATGAAGCACTTTTTATGGCAGTATTTCGTGGGCGTTCAAAGCGTTGTTATTTCTATTAGCGTGTGAATAATATTCATTAAGCAGGTAAAACTTGTATTTTCTGCACTTCTCTGAAAATATCTAGTCGTCCAAGTTGGCGCCCAAACACAGAATAATACAGAAGCGATACTGGAATATTCTCACCGTATTGTTTACACTGAGATAACCGAGTTATTAATTTCTAAATTATTAAAAATTTTGTCTTACTGCAATGACACTTAGGTGGCCATATCCCTGGCCGAGAAATGGTGAAATTTCTGGCATTTTTAGGTACTGAAATCTTGAAAAGTAAAACGTGTAGAACAAAAGTAAGCACAAAAATAAAATCCTTGATGTTTTGTTTATTCATTGTTACCATTTAAATTTACCCAAATAAAATAATAACTAAAAAAAAGCGTTTGTAAAACATGCATTTTCTGTTATCCTAACCCCACATTTTAAGAATTATTTTCACGTACTTATAAATAAAAGTAAACAATTCTATATGTAGGACTAAGCAAGTAATAAGAATATTTACATGTGGAGTTATGTCTAAGAAGTTAGTATTTTCGTAGATTTCAGTACCTAAAACCTTGATGGTTTGATCGTTTTTTGCACCTGTTTATTCGTTTTGCTGCGGCGTCTTTAAAAATACTCAGGTGGCATGACATAACATTCCTATTATTTGATAAGCTTTAGATTATTCAGTTAGTAAATGTTTGAAATTATTTGTCTTTGCGGAAAACACTATTTAAAGAATATGGGGCCCTCAATATGACTTAATATCTCTCTACCACCAGATGTAGTACGGCTCAAAAAATGTGTCGATTTAACTAAACTTGCCTTAGGTAGTTCAAAAATTAATAATAATGGAGTTACATGCTGTCAAAGTGGAAAAAATAAATAATATTTTCTTTAATATATTTCGATTACTGCGAGCTAATTTTGTGAAATTTCGAATATATTGTTGAATTTTCTAGAGGGCGCCACAACCGACCATTGGGACGCATTTAAACTGCCAAAACTCTTCTGCTTAAAAAAGGTATAACTTGCACGCAAAAAAATTCTCGACTCAAACGTTGATTTTAAGGTATCGCACATTTATATACAGGGCTGGAAAATCCACATGGTCCATCTGCCTTTACATGAGAGCGACAAAGTAAAGTAAAGAAATCCGTGCGATAGACAAGGATGGCTATAGTGACGACGTTTTATAATCCGAATAGTCACGGCCCGTTTCGGGTTAGAAGTGGGAGTGACTATTCAGATTATGAAACGTCTTCAATGTAACCATCCTTGTCTATCGCACGGATTTCTATGACTTACTTTATCGTTCTCACGTAACAGCCGACGAACCATGGGGACTTTCCGAACCTGTATAAGAAAATATTTTCTTCTTTCAAGAAAATTATTTATTTATTTAAATACTTTAAATTTCTATCCAGAAATATAATTTCTTACTTTAACTGTTACTGTTTTTTTGTACAATATACTATTATTTACAGTCAAAAATTTCTCTCGAGATATAAGAAAACTGCAAAAGGAGGACTAGTAGGAGTGCCGTCGAAAACAGAAAATTCTATAGACATATTGCAAATAGATTAATTACTAAGATAAATATAAAAAAAATAAAAAATTCAATTAAATTTGCATGATTTTTTAATAAATAATCCTATATTGTTTAAATAATTCGAGTACTCGGTTGAGTACTCGAATTATTTATTTATTTATCGTATAGGTTTTTTATTGCTTAACAAAATCATCTAGAAGGTTCATATTTGTAACTTCAATAGATTATGAGATATAAACAGTCAAAGACTGAATAATACGAAGAAAAGTCTCAATTTTAAAAATAAATTAATGTAACTAAAGATCTATAATAGCTACAAAATAAATTGGTCGAAAGTTCATTTGACAGATCAATCAATATTCTACAAAATTATCGTGAATATCCATAACTGTATCTTTAATAGTTTAAAAGTTATAGCTGTTTATAAGTAAACAAATGGAATGGTCGCTCTAAATTCTAAAAAAAACGAAAAATAATAAAAAAAATTCGAGGGAAAATTATACAGGGTGCTCTCAAAGTTGAGTCTTTTATTTTAACAGCTGGTAGAACTCGTAAAAAAGTCAATTTACCAAAAACCGTTTATATAAAAGTCGCAGAATAAAAATCCTGTTCTACAAAAATTGTCCAACATTGTTCTACAAAAATTATTCAAAATTGTTACCATTTGTTTACCATTTATGTTTTTACAACGCAGTGATCGAAAATGACAATAAATCAGGTTTGTATTATAAAGTTTTTAAATTACAATTTTTTAAAAATAATTGTTAATAATTGCTTTATTTGGCAACTGTTATATAAACGAATTTTGGTAAATCGACTTTTTTACGAGTTTTACCAGCTGTTAAAATAAACGACTCAACTTTGAGAACACCCGATATATGGTTGGTTCTATAACTCTTTTCTCTAAAAAAAATAATGTCACTTTTGACGATTGTATATAACAAATTGTAAAGTAGGTAAATAAACAAATTTTCAACAAAAAAAAACTGTTTTTTCTGTAACCTGGAGAATTGCAAATCAAAAATTTGGAGAAAGAAAAAAAATCTTAATATATTATTTGAACACTTCCTTGAACCTTTTTTTAATTCTGCATCACTTAAATTCGAAAATTGACTAGTTAAGTATTGGAAACTATTTATGTTCGTATCCAAAGCCTTCACAAGCCTTCAATTAATTCTTCAAACCATGAACATCTGTACAGTACACCAACGAGCCATTGTATTCTTTATTGAACTTCTCGAAACTCCTTTTCTACCTACCCACCTTTTCCAGTACCCACCAAAATAACCAAAATCAATATGAAAGCTGGCCTAGGAGTTGTGACAGCGGGTCCGCCCCCACAGAACTCAGCCCGAGAACAACAAAGGTAGTCAAAGATTCCTAACTAAGGCTAAGTAAATGGAATGGGACCAGGTACATAGGTCCCGCAAATAAGTACCTTTTTAGTTCACGAAATGTATTCACATTAAAATAAAATGAGACTCTATTCGTGCATATGAGATTCAAAGCAAAAATACTCACGTTGGGTGTGTGATGGGTACCTCAAACACGTACTCCTTGGGGATGTCGAAGTAATCGGGATCGTGTCCGTTGGCGGACAACACCAAAGGAAGAATGTCCCATCTTCCCCCAGTACTTTTCCAGCCCAGCTTGAGGCATACCTCTGTGAACTCCACATTGAGTGGGTCTCCTATGACCGACCCGTCGGGCTGACGGTAGCCTGCGTAGCTAATCAGTTGTGAATTCCAGACGCGATAGTCGTGCTTCGAGTCTGTTCTTTGGGGAAATATTGTTATGGCCGACCTGGAAAGCAATAACGAACTTTAATAATTGGGAAAAATACGACACCTTAATTTGTAGAATTATCAAGCATTATGTAGAAAATTTTTTGAAAATAAATGTGTGTGTAAAGGAAGTAACGTCAGTTCTCGTCAAAGTAAGAGAGAGGTTCATAGGACTTCTAAAATTCCTGGTTTAGAAATTACTGAAGCAAATGTCAAAGCGACATAATTTTTATAATTTAATGATTTTTGTTTTCAATGTACGTTAAAATCAACAAAATAATAAACGATTAAAAATCTTGTACAGCAATAATTATTTATTTACCTATTTACTTCCCAAACGTATTGTGAAAAAAACAGGGTTCTAACAACTGAATGAAATAAACGTAAACTCAGCAAAAAATTTCTGAAAATTCAAAATTTTGAAAAAAAATCTAATTTTTCAAAATTTTTAAATTGTTTTTCGTCTTTTTTACAATTTTACATTGAATATTTGAAATGCCAAGAAAAAATTTTTAGTTGAAAATTTTGTTTTTTCGAAATTTTTATTTTTTTTGGTATTTGATGGGTATAACACGAAACTGTGAGAAAAATAACGCAAAAAATGTGTCTAATCATTAGGGTGGGTCAAAAAAATTGATTATTTTTTTTTTACTTTATACTTTAAAAAATAGCTAGATGCCTCTAGAAAATTCTCTCCAAATATGAGCTCTTAATTTTAATAGAAAGGTTCTCCGCTTTACAGTTTTCCATTTTTTCCTCAGTATTAGAAAGAAACATTTATATCTCTCTATCAAATGTTCGTTAAAAATATATCTCCTCATATGCTTGTAGGAAATTGAACGCTCTACAAAAAAGTCTCTTACAATTTTTTCGTAAACCTCACCGTTTAAAAGATATTAAAGGTTGAAGTTTGATTATTTTAAGACAAATTTCTGTTTTGCTTATAAATTTTATAACTCGTTAACAAAAAATCATTATGAAATGCGCAATTTTGTAGGAAATTAACTGTTCTACAAAAATGGTCTCTTATGAAAATCGATTAAATAAAGCGTTTAAAAGATATTCATCGTCAAACTTCAATGCACGCCAATTTTAACAGTTTTTGATTAATAATTCGAAAAATTTCAATTTAGTTTATGAGTTTCAGGGAAATTTATACAAATTTGTGTTTCTATGAACAGAGAAATGTTTTAAACTATTTTATATTATTTTATATTTAACACACTTGATAATTAAATAAAAAAAACTTTTTAATAACACATTGAACATTTTTTTCTTTAAGATTACTACTTTTCATAATAAATTTCTGACAAAAACGTTATTTTTTCAAGATTTAATGAATCATTCAGGGATAATGCACTCATTTTTTTCGATGCAACCAAACATGCTTACAACTAAAAAAAAACTAAAAAAATACTTTACCCATTTGACCTAAAATATAGGCTACTTCATAGTTTTTATAAAAAAAAAATTAGCAAGTTTCCTCCTCAGTATTTAATAAAAAAAAAAACAAAATTACAAAATGACTAATTTCGTAGCTGAGGGGCACTGGTAATTTTGATACAGGACGGAGATTCTTACGAATTTCTATGAAGTTCCAATATTTCGAAATGTAAAAGACTTCTACATGTAGTCGAATCTAGTTATTCTAGCTAGCTACAGTTTATTACCCCAGTTTGATATTTGTTTTTAGACCCTGTAAATATCGCCAATAAAACAACGTAAAGTTTCTGTCAGTGTACCATGAAACAACCACAAACGAATCACTTTAGGTTTCCAAACATCTTTAAGATTATGTTTTTATAACCCTATTGTAGGAGATAATTTTAAGGGAACATCATCTAAATATCCTTTGGAAGTATGAAAAGGCCAATATGGGCAAATAAATCGGGGCAATTTCTGCATGCGTTCCGATGCGATCCAGCTCCATCAGCGCCTCGCGAGCCTTATTGTACCGTTGAGAATGTTATTCATGCGGTGTATAGAAAATGAGCACAATGCCGTTATGAAACTTGGAGGGCGAATTTTCTTGCGGTTGCTCGATTATACACGCCAGACGGTACGAGTTTAACCGCCGTACGGGATATGGTGAATTTTTTCAGCGCCAACTCCAAAATAAATTTTTCAATCCGGAAAGTTCGAAATAGTTGTTGGAATAGACGTAACTTCGATACAGGCAATTGGTACTATAAAAAATTAGAAATACTGTGCAAGCGTGGGCATCGATTTCATATATTTAATGGAGAACTAATACTGAGAAACCGACTGTATATATATTTTTAAATTTGTGCTTTAATTTTTTTACACAGTTATAAACTATTCGGTTCGGACACAGTCGAGGTGCGGTTACTGCACAGAACTAAAGAATCATGAGTAATATTTGTTTCAATAAACTATTAAACAGAAGTAAGTTAATTCATAAATAATTTTAAAGCTGAATGACTGTGCATTGACTGTGAATCTACTGTGCTGGGACCGCGATCACAAATAAGTTAAACAAGATAAAAAATATTTTAAAGATATATGTATTTTTGTATTTTTAGAGTTATATGCTATTAAAATTAATTGATTGGAACTGTACAGTGTGACATATTTTTACACAGTTATAAACTTTTAGGTTCAAGCACAGTGAAAGTGTGGCTACTGCACAGAACTGAAAGGCCATTCAGTAATAATGTTTCAATAAACCATTAAGTGTAAATAAGTCAATTAATAAATAATTTTAAGGTTAAAAAACTGTGCATTGATTTTAAATATCGACTGTGCTTGGACCGCATTGGCATCGTGTGACTTTGTTAGAATTTTATACTTAGATACCTATATGTAATTCCAATATTTTTAAAAATCTATTAAATTGTGTTATTTTAAACACCTGTGTACGACTTTTTGACTTGAGCACAGTCAGAACACGGTCAGGGCACTAAAATATTCCATTGAGTTCTTAGATTGGTTATAAAATGGTATATTCCCAAATTAATTTTATGATTGAATAATATTTTCTGCAATGCGTCTACTTTATCTTTATAAATCATGAAGTGACTGTGCCTTGACTGCTCCCAGACTACATCTATAAAGTCTGCATTGAAATTCCAGTGTCATTTTATGTTCTATTTATTCCTTACACTTGAATGATTGGAACAGAATATTGTCTCTATTTATTAATTTTTACTACAATTTACTTTACTGTGATATAAACTATTCGGTTTAAACACAGTCAAAACGTAGTTATTACACAGCACTGAAAAGTAATGGAATAACATTTAAATAGTGAGTAACTAATAAAAAATATGCTAATAGATACAAGATTTTTAAGGTTGTATTTTTTTTCACTGTATATTGACTATGCATATCGACTGTGCTTAGACCGCATTGTGCGACTGTAGTAAAATCTTATACTTAATTACATGTAAATTGCATATTTACGAAAATTACATAAGTTAAGTTAATCAGATTACCTATATACGACTTTTCGACTTAGGCACAGCGAGAACACGGTCGAGACATCAAATAAATCGCTTCAGTTCATGAATTGACCCTATTGGGAATAAAATAGTATATTCCAATATTCATTTTAAATTGAATAATATTTTTTCTAATCCATCCACTTTTGCTTTATAAATTGTGTGACTGTGCTACAACTGTGTTCAAACCGTGTTAGCACCATTTAATGTGTTTCGTTTATTTCTCAAAATTAAAGGTCTGGGACAGACTGTGCATATTATGTTTTACCACAATTTGCTTTAAGCACAATCGAGGTTGCTGCACAGCACTGAATAGTTATTTGTTTTAATGAGTAACTTTGCGGAAATATGTCAACCAATAAAAGATTTTGAACGTTAAACACCTGTGCATGTCGACTGTGCTTTGGCCGCATTTTGGACTATGTTCTTATACTTAACTATTAAACTACCGATGTACTTTTCGACCTGAGCACAGTCAAACACGATTGGTGCACCAAAAAATTTGTTTCAGTTCTTAAATTGATCATATACCATTATTGAATATTTTTCCAACGTGTCTGTGCATGGCCTGTGTTCAGATCACATCTATGTTAAAACTGTATTAGCTCCATTTTCTGTGACTTATATAACGGAATTTCGTGTATACTTTTAATTAATACATACTGAAATTTTGTTTATTCTGTTATAAACTATTCGGTTTGAGCACAGTCGAGACACGGTCGCTACACAGAACTGAAGACTCATTCAGTAATATATTTTTAACGAGTTTACTTAATAACTCTCTTTTTCTATTACCGAAAAAATATATCCGATCCCAAACACAATTACAAGTTCAGCTGCTGGGGCTTTTTATGCTTCATAAGTAGATTAATTAACGTCCTATTAAATGTGAAAAATGCTGAAACTAAAATATGCAGACCGGATTTTTATGGCTAAAAGGCCCAGATGTGTTCGTTTAGTAAATGGGGGGGATTAAAATGAGACCTTAAAATATCGCTGCAAGGTGCCGTAAAGTATCACGTTACTGAAGAGAAGATATTGCTGACGAGTGCTGAAACTAGTTGCTTTTTCAGGTGTCGTTTTCATTTAGTATCTGCGTTTAACTGATGATGGGAAATATTTATTTATCGCCATAATTTACAAAATACTGCAGTGGTCAACATGTTATTAAAAATGCCTAATTTTCAGGGAGAGATTTTGTAGGTATTAGAAATAAGAGATATGCTTTATGAGACAATTTAATAACGGAAACTTACTGGGATATCGTGAACAATTAGAGGCAGATAGTGGATGAAATTACAAAAATGTTCCGCAACATTTTGCTGTAACTTTTTCTAAAATCTGATGTGGGATATTTTACCATTGTAAACAGTATGGTGTCTTGAAACCAAATTTCCGAACCTCATCCCTTTAAGATTTTAGATACACGTTTTAGAAAAAAACATTCAGACAAGTTAATCGGAAATGTCGAGAAGCGTATACCTTGAAATAAGAAAAACTGACAGAAAGTCAGCAGGTGTTACAGGTAGGTACGTATATGTTATTGATAAAGGACGATTTTATTTTCTGACCACGTTAGATTTTTAACGAAATTTTACGCAATGCAAAAAAATATCCTAAAATAGTGTGTGAATATACTTTTTTGAATAGAATAACCCCGAATTTAATGCAGTGGTTATTTAAAAAAAGGGAAATATATTTTTTAATCGTGTTCAGTTCACTCGAGCTATGTCGTGAATTTATGAACTTAACGATTTGTTTTTCTGTCAGACGCAGTGGATGCAAGCAACTCGACATCCACTCTTGCCTAGACATGTCGTACATGTTCTGGGGATTTGTTCCCTTGGAATGTATTTATTATTTTGTGGGATAAGTAACTTACTGCACTGAAGCATCATCAGAAGTGAACCGACATTTAAATCCTTTTCAACTTCAGCAAGTTGCAGCATTTTTGAAGCGAGATACAATTTATATGGGACGAAAAATGAGTAAATACACATTAAAAAATAATTTGTTGAAGTATAGTTGCTAATTGTAATTAATTTAATTAATTAATTGTGATTCAAATCAGGTAATGTGGTGGTTAATTATTATTACACAACCCTTTCTAATATAATTTGATACCTGAACGCCTCTTCTACCTGATTTGAAGCCGATTGGTGTTAATGTATAGAAACTAAAATGTATTTAACGAAAAAATAAATAACTATTTCAATCTCAAAAAGAACTCCTTTGAAGCAAGTGTTAGACAATTAAAAGTAATTAGATCTCTCTAAGGCCATCTGACAAATGAAAGACTCCGTTGCTGACTGTTTCACTTAATAAGTTAGTTTCCTTCATTAACTTCCAGCGCCAGAAAGCCACTTATAGGAATGACAAATTTCCTCTGCCTTCATGTTTGTCCTACTAAATAATATTCCCTTCGTTTTAATAACGTAAAAACGGGTTAGAATTTATGTTCGGACATTATTTTGCTGTTAGACGTCAGCTGAAGTTGCAGAAAAACGAAATACAAATTCTTCGGCATTAATATTAATTGGGCACGGAAGCTAAAAATTCAAATTTCGGTGGTTCCAGTTGGTTAGAAAACTTCATGCTGTATGTTTCATTTCTTCTACTCCAAGAATTAACAATTATGATTTATAAACTAAAATTATTTACTTTTTATTCCCCTAAAATTTTTCATTTAGTTCATGAAAAAGCTCACATAAGTAAGTATCCTCAAATACTTTGTTAGATGTAGATACAAGGGGTTAGAAATCAATGAAAAAGTTGTTTTTTTTTTCTAGTTGCAAGAACTGTTATGTGTAGCTATAAAAATTACTTGTTTTCTTCATAAACAGTGTGATTGATTGATTGATTGATTGATTGATTGATTGATTGATTGATTGATTGATTTATTTAAAATATACTGCCTCTAAAATAGAAAACGTTAATAAAATAATAAAATTTAATACCAAAAACGCTAGTGCTAAACAAACTAAAAGTGACTGAAATTCCCTATGATTTAAACACAGTTTAAATGTTGCATTACAATGATATTGGAATAGACAAATATAATAAAGTATCTATGTTTATTATTAATATTTATATAGAAATAAAAGAGAAATGTACTTTCGCCGTAATGTTAAATTATAAAGTGTCTCTGATAGTATAAATAATGTCATATCTAAAGGAGATATAAGAGATATGTTCAGCAAATAATCAAAATCTTTGAATTATATGCTAATGGAGATATTTAGTGATGCGGTTGGCAGCATTGCGTTGCGCATAATCACATGTTTTTGGATTGTTGTCTAATTTAGTTTTCGTATCTATATTATTAAACAATAAGTTTGTTGTGTGTGATACAACATTTTTATATCTTCGGTGGCAGTTTAGTATTTCGACACTACTAATTCACTCCTGACAGATCTTCCTGGAGTACAAAATCAAATGATGTAACAGATGTGAATAGTTTGAAGTCATCAGCGTAAAAAAGAACATTAGTTAGAAGATTATCAAAATTATCACAAATATCATTAACGCACGTATTGAATAATAGCGGGCTAAGAACTGAACCCTGAGGTACTCCTTCAGAAGTAACAACAATTTCGATCGAAATAAAACCACGACATTGAATCAATACAATGACCTGTTCAGTGATATTAACAAGATTGGTTAAGGTGGATGTACATGTTATGAATGTTGATAAATTTTGATATTTGGTGTGAAAATGTTATGCAGAATCACTTTAAAATTGCCAAAATTGCAATGGACTTGCAGTTTTCAATGAAATTTTTACCACCTTTCTTTCTTTTCCTTCAGGAATAACAGGACTTTTAAACATAGGGCTATTATAACTAGATTCAAAATTTACTCCATTCAATGAAGAAAAAATTGACCAAACTATTAACTATACCTTGAGGATATTGTCAAATCAGTTATTAATTAATTAATTTTTTTTATTTAAGATCTCAATTTTCCACATATTTCTTGCGTAACGTCAGTTTTCCATCTTTTTTTATCTATTCTTTTATTCGTTATCTCATAAATCATGAAATTTTGGGTAATAATTACTTGAAGATGATTACTATAATAATAATAGAAGTACAAAGCTACACATTTTGTATTTATCTTAAAAAATAGTTACTTGGAACAAATTAAATTAAAAAAAAGGTGTTATAGTCCAGGCGGTAGAGCAGTAAAAGTAGGCTTTGGCGTTTATGTTTTAAGTAATCTATTTTGTTGTACCTACAGAAAAATCTCAAATATTATGTAGAATAAGAATCCGAGTTTGCCTATTCCAAAAAACCACTGCTAAATTCTGGGGAACAACAAACATACAAAAAGAACGAAAAATGACCCGTCTTTCGACATATTTTTATAGAAAATCGTCAAATAAACAAAAAATAAAGAATGAGTTATTTATTTAGGACTTACTTTCAATGTTACTGAGAAAAATATATCGAAAACGGGTAATTTTTCGTTCTTTTTGTATGTTTGCTGTTCCGCTGAATTTAGCAATGGGTTTTTGGAATAAACAAACTCGGATTCTTATTCTGCATAATATTCGGGATATTTCTGTACAACAAAATGGATGACTTCGAATACAAACCCCTCGAATGCTGTACCGCCTGGACTATTATTTCTTTAAACTTTAACACATCGCACTTTGGAAACAAAGTATCTGCATAACAATGTTTGTGTGACTGTTCTGAAAGGTAACATTAGTTTTTTTAAAACAAAGTCTCACTTTCTCCAATAAGTTGCGGTCTTAAATTTAGACTTAACTGAACTTTCTAACAGGGGCAGATTCGATTAGAGAAGTAATAAAACTCAGATAGCTGTCTGAAATCAAATACTCTAGCACTTAACTGTCTGTCTGACTAGCGGTAGAAATAACTTTACGTCTAGAAACGAAAATCAAAGGGAGAGGATATCGCATTTCCACGAATTGAGACACTGTCAGACAAAAAATATCCTCAGAGGAATATTCATTGTTACACATATATATTTTACTTACTTTTTTGAAAGAATGTAAGGGAAAAGCGAACTGTTGGATAATTAGATGCGAACAGCATAAAGCTGATCATTAATTTCATGTAAATATAGATTTTGTTCGTAGCTTTCAATAATTGTTTTCATTTCTTTCCTTGTGAAAAAAAATTCTTATTTGTTTTAATGATACGTTTGTCTGTACAAGTTGTTAGGGACGTAACTATCGTAAATTTAACAGTTGATTTGTATATTATTTGTAATTATAACTATAAAATCATTGATTCCATACCTAATATTGCCTTTGTTGGTACTATATTTGATGTGGTTGCACAACGCTTCGAACATTCCACTTGTGGTGGTCACATATCGGCAATCAAACACCTAGAAAGGAAAAAGATGTGTATAATTTACGGCAATTTACTCTACCTGACATTTATAGTGTAAAGAACAACTCCATAAAATGGTCAGTTTTATGCTGTACCAAATTTAAATTTTGCTGTGCAAAAAAACTGACTTGAATATGTATTTTTAGTAGTTAAAATTTCATTGTGACGCAGAAATACAATCAACGAATAAAATCAACGCATTTTCACTTTGAAGTGTTTTAGCATGTAAACGTTCAAAGGCTTTTCAGGAGCATGTATTGTTTTTACAGCTACATGCTCTTGATTTTGTTAGAGAGGATATTTTAATTTAAAAAATTGGGCAGTTTATTTCTTTCCACGGAAAATGTAACGGTTTTATCATGAAAAGTGATTTTAAATGATACAAATGTTAAGGTGATGAATTATAATCGGGAATTATTGTTGCCTCAGCACAAATTTGATAATAGGCCAGGAAAAAGAGCTGGGAAATGAGCATTTCGCGACTTTTTGTTTCGGCAAGCTGAATTTATCACTATAGATGCCAAATATTATGTATAATAACATATTAGTTTCCACAGTCATAAAAATGGGGGGAAGATTGTTTACAGGTTAGTTAATTGCATAATTTTTTCGTAAATTCACGTCTTTCGCTTATAACTTTTTTCCGTTCATTTCCACGAGGAAACAGTAATGTACTATTTTTTCGTCTTCAAAAGACCTACAAAACTAGCCCTCGAGCGTTAAAAAATATTGATTAGATCAAAAGTTATAAACAGAAGAAGTTTATTTATGGCTTTTGAATTAAATATTTATTATTAGTTGTTAATTTGTGACAAAAATATTCTGATGTATATTGTTATGAAATATATATATAATTTTGTGTTTAAGTTGTGTTATGTTTAAATAAATTTATTTTATTATTTTGCCCGAGTTGTTTTTGTTGTGTGGTGTGTTGTGTTATTTTATTTTGTTTGTGTAAATGATAATTGTGAAATACAAACCGTTTTTTTTTATCTCACCCTGTAGTTTACATTTTCCGTTGCCAGCTGATGTTAGATGATTATTTTACTATCTTCGATCTCAGGAGTCGGTTCTATTGATTTTTATACACAAACAATTACAATGCAACACAAAAAAATAGATATTAAACTTTAATACAATTTTATTAAACAAATTTTGTTGTGGGTTGACTCATAACGTTCAAATTGTAGCTCTAATTTTTATAACACTAATAAAGAATATTTTATCAATTTTATAGTCTTATCTAATTTATTACAATCAAATACAATACAAAAAATTGTTTTATATAAAAAAATTTTGTAACTATTAGCAATTCCTTTTAATTAGGCAATTCTTAACACATCTTGTTGTATTGTGTTTTGCCTATCTTATAGGGCATAATCTCTTTTTGACATAAAGTTCTATTCTAATCAAATATGGCCGATACTACATTCCTAATACATTTTAAGTTCTAATTTTTTTAAGGTTTTTTACCATTCGGGCTCCAATTTCTAATGTACAATTTTATTTTCTGAAAATAATGTACTCTAGTTAGAACTTCCTAATATGGAGGGTTTTTGAGAAAAAAGGCTTTTAATTGAACTCTTACAATATTATGGTGTATAAAATAAGTGACTTTTCTCAAATTACCTTCCCAAAGCCCCATTACTAACAGCATATCAGTTTTCACATTAAATAAAAATTCTCCTGCCATTTTTACAAATAAATATCACGACAAACAAGAACAAGATGTACAAGGAATTGTTAAATTTAATTTGTTAAACGGATAAATACATTTATGTAACGTCAGATTTGAGAACAATAACATCCTAGTAACAAAACAATTGAAGAGCAGCAGTTGCATAGCCTACCCGCAATTATAAAACCACATATTTTTGTTCAATTTAATCGGTTTTGACCCCTATCACAAAGTCGTAATTTTCTCAAAAACGGATGGTTTCTCGAAAAATTTACAAGATTAAAAAAGTGTAAAATTGAATTTTCTATTATACTGGTAGACCTTAATTTTAAATTAAGTTAGGGTAGAAAAAATTCATGGGCGATTTACCCGTAAACAACCCCTTCTTGAAACGCCGGTCACTTAAAGTTTCTACCAACTAAAGACGTCAATAAAATACATATATTTACAAAATTTGGTTGTTCTGTATTAACGCATTACTGAAATACCGAGTTTTAAGACATTTTCTGAGGCCAATATCTCAGCAATGAGAAAAAAAATCATATGAAAAATCAACTTGTTCTGGTGTCCTCTACACGCACCTGTTCTATGTCCATTGAGTTGTGAATCACCCTGTACTTTACTTCAGACACCCAGTTAAACATTTGTGGTCTGCTCTCTGCAGTGCAAACCCCAGCATCGAGTCGCCAGTTCCACAAGTGTTTAAAGAACACTCGACGCCATCATTTCGAGCTGACCGAAAATTAACCAGCTATCCAACCGAGCTCCCGCAGCATTTGTAACCAACAAAACGACTGCCGGCTGTGTACCAAGCATTGGATTAAACCTAAATGGGTAAAATATGTACAAAACGCCGCCATGCGTTCGCCCTTTTCATTCCGGGGCTTTGCCGCGCGACTGGAAACTCTAACAGGACACATAACTATAAATGGCAGAGCCGATGTATCGTTAAATGATGTAGTAGCGGACTCGTTCGGTACTTTTTTTTTTTAAAGGTTCAAATCCTCTTCGGAATGAAACGCCTGTTTCGACGGGATCGGCAACTGACGTTTTCGAGGGCTGCGGGTGTGGTTAGTAAATTGGATTCATGTTTGAATGTGTAGAGTGTTTGGGTTCGGATTTGGTATCGCGCTGACAATGGAGATAATTGAAAAGGTGTGATTTTATCAAAAGTAATTAATAAATTATCGATAATTTGTGGGGAATTTGCACGGACGCAAGTTCAGCTGAAAAAGCCATGAGTGGATGAAAACATAAACTGTTTAATATGAGTTTATTATATAATTTACGTCTAGTATTCGTATATAAAATAAATTGCCTGTAATTTAAATTATGTCATGTTTTGAATAGTAGAAAATAACAGTGTGTATACTTTGTATGTGAAATATTTTTTTTGTTCACTTACGGGTATGTCATATTAACAGTTATTATAGGATATAGTATACAGGGTATCTTACGGTGACGGCCCATCAGAATTATTTCAGAGACTATTTCGATTTGAATTTTGAAAATTTGGGATACCGGGTTTTCGGGCATGCCCTTCTCAACTAAAACAATGGCGTCCACGTACCACTTCCGGTTATACCGAAAGTCGACATCAACTTTCTTATTTTAAATGGAACACCCTATATATTATTGCAATTTTGGATTCTAGATAAAGCAACGATATTTATAGGGGAGATAGCCAAACCCCTAACCTTGCCATCCATACTTTCAAAGTGGCTTAATTGCATACAGAGTGCTAGAAATTTAATGCGGAGTTTAGTTGACTTCGAACCTTAATAAGTTGTTTTTTAAGTGGAACACCCTGTATATTTTTCTTAATATACAGGGTAGTATAAGTGTTTTAAGTAGTATTTTATCGACGCAAGAATGTTTAAACGCGAGAACGTAGTTCTTAAGTGCATAAAAGGCAATTAAAACACGAATGCAATACAACGTTTTATCCGTAATCACATCACAATCATATTTGTGGAGTCAGAATTATTGGAATTTAATAAAAAAATACTCGCACGACTTGATATTTCTTACTATACTCTGTTTAGAACCGGCCATGGGCGTGCTAACATTTCGTTTCAGGTAATTATCAGGTAACACTAATGTTAACAGGTAATGGGTATTTTACTGGATACATCATAGGGCAGGAGCCAGTGTATTGTGACTGAATATACGAAGACGTGCTAGTGCAGTAGAGTAAAATTCGACTCGTGTTTAGTGACTAAAGTACACTCATTTTATTTTAAAAAAGAAATACCAACGCTAAACAAAATTTTAAGTGAACTTTCAGAGGACAACGATTTGCCAAAAATCAGTAGAACCAAATTATGGGCCGTCTTACGAGAGTTGAATTTTTGCTGGGAAAAGCAGAACAGGAAGTCAGTTCTTATCGATAAAGATGAAATTATTTGTTGGCGAAGATCCTACTTAAGATCAATTAGAAAATTCCGTGACGAAGGGAGGAATATTTATTATCTAGACGAAACTTGGGTCAACGAGGGATATACTGTAACAAAAGTATGGCAAGATAAAAATGTAAAAAGTTTTCGACAAGCATTTTTGGATGGACTTTCAACAGGGTTCAAGGCACCTTCAGGTAAAGGGCGAAGATTAATAGTGACACATATAGGTAGTGCCAGTGGTTTTGTAGATGGCGGTTTACTTTTATTTGAATCTAAAAATACAGGTGACTATCACGAAGACATGAACGCAGATGTTTTCGAAGAGTATTTTACACAGATGTTGGATCTTATTCCTCCGGGGTCTGTAATTGTCATGGATAATGCCAGTTACCATTCACGGCAGACCGAGCGGACGCCTACGACTGCTTGGAGGAAAGCCGATATAATTCAATGGTTATCCGGAAAAAACATTTCTTTTGAAACAAATATGGTGAAAAAGGAACTTTTGACACTTGTCAATCTTAATAAAGATCAGAAAAAATATGTTATCGATGAAATGGCAACAAATCGCCAAATAACGGTACTACGGTTACCACCTTATCACTGTGAACTTAACCCAATCGAATTAGTCTGGGCGCAGGTAAAAGGAGATGTAGCGCGAAATAATACGACGTTTAAATTAAGTGACGTGAAAATTTTGTTAAAAAATTCCTTGGAACGAGTAACTGCAGATAACTGGCAAAGATGTATACATCATGTACAAAAAGAAGAGGAGAAAATGTGGGAACTCGATAATTTAATTGACGTTACTGTGGAACCTATCGTTATCAATCTAGGAGACGAAGATAATTCATCAGAATATTCAGAGGATGAATTTTAATATACCTACTTTTTTATTTTCTTTATTGTACATTTATA